GTGGATTTGCCAACGCCTAGCTTTGCCACAATCTCTCAAACTGTTTGGGATGATAGTTCAGAATGTTTCTTCAGCCTCCCGAGATTTGTACAGATATTTTATTGGACTAACGTTTCGGCGAACATCGCCTTCTTCGGAGCCTGCAAGTCGAAACCTATCATCGAAACAATTCACTCAAGCACCATTTCTAATTACAGTAAGAAACTACGGGCTAGGATATCTTAGAACTAAGTCGAAAGCCACCAACCTTTTGACGGGTAGAACTTCTACCGGGCACTCTGAGTTTCGAGACTACAAGACGGTAGCTTATATATGGTTTTAATAACTCTGAGTGACGGGTCAGAGGGCTTGAGGGAACATACAAAGGGCATGCCATCCGCTGTAATTAGGACACAACCTTAAGGAACCAATTTGAACGCAGAGGTCGGTCCTCCGCTGAAGCGTGAAGAACCAGCCTTTGGGGGTATTGTAATTTGAAAATTTTTAAGACTGGACCGAAACTTATAGAGACCCCCCAGGATTGATCATGTAGATCAATAGTCCCACTGGCTGCCAGATGATGGGGTCCCTGCGGATCGCCGCGCATTCAACATGATTATCGATTTAAAGGGTAATACTAAGTAAGCCCCCCTCCGCGCCCCCCGCGGGGGTATTGAATGCGTAGATCAAAAGCCGCAAAGGTCCGCAAAGGGTGCCAGCTCTCTGGTGATCGCAATGCACTCTTCCTTCCTGTTAATTTGAGGGTTCTTAGAGGCAATCCACAAAGCTTCGAGTGTCTTGCGGGCCGAAACATCCTGTTCACGTGCCAGGATCGTGATTTTCACCGCAATGTCCACACTTTGATGTTTTTGAGCCTTGTGGTCGCCGAGAGGAGTGCATATCTTGGACTTCTTCATTCCATCCAAGTGCTCCTTCACCCTGACACAGAGCGGTCTTCCCGTTTCCCCCACATATTCGTCCCCGCACACCTGACACGTTATGAGATAGACTACTCCTGAGGTCATACAATCACCACTCCTTCCAAATGGACAAATTACGCAGGGGGGTTAGGCAGAGTCGGTCATACAGACGATTCCGGACCAACTGCCTCTTCAGGTTAGGAGGAGGAATCTCGACTAATCTGACCGTGTCCTGGAGATCCGCTTTTCGTAAGCAGCCGCGTAAAGCAGCGCTCAGTTCGTCCGATACAAATGGGATACAGAATGGTAGCTTGGCCTGCTCTGCTTCCTGCCTATCTTCTGTCCTAGTTTGTCTTCTATGCCATGTCGGCCGTCCACAGCGAACATAGCCGTTCTCCTCTGCTATGCGGTAGGCCAGTGTCATCGACTCTGTTCTGCACGCGCCTTCTGACGAGACTGCAGAGGCCGTACGATACATGTTCTTGACAATGGCCCTCTTGGTAGCAGAGGGATGGGCCGAGCTGGAATGAACAATTATATTTTTACTGCTAGGCTTTCGATACCACTTCGTTCTATGAACTCCCCGCGAGAAATGTACTTGTACGTTGAGGAAGGCAAGCCAATCCTCTGTCGGCTTCTCGCGCGTGAACTTTATATGCTCCGCCTGCTCGTTTAGCAGGTGGAAGCAGCAGTCCATCTCCGACTGGGTGGAACATACAACGAAGCAATCATCTATATACCTGCAGTAAATAATCGGTCTACGCTCTAGGTTCTCAATTTTGTACATGAAGGCTATTGCCAGAGCAGGAGCTAACCTCTGCCCCATAGCTAGTCCTCTAATCTGTTTATAGTATTCGCCTGACCATCTGAATACGTTGCATTTTAGGCATTCGTCGAGTAATGCCATCACTTGTACAATGGAAAGGCCGTATAGATTGAGTCTAGCATGGTGTTCGGTGAGGATCTCTAGGACTGCTTGCATCGCGCTTTCTCTAGGAACGTTCGTATATAGTGATGTTACATCGAACGATTCCATTACATTCCCTTCCTCTAACCTGGCCTCATGGAGTTTCTGGGGCACGTTCTGGGCCTGAAGACCGCACTACATATAAGGAAAGCGTTGATTTGGAGGTACAGTGGAAGCGACTACGACGAGCTCCAAAGGAAAGATGGAGGGACGTCATCAAGGAGGACCTCACTGAAGTGAAGGCCACAGGAGCGATGCAGTGGGTCGGAAGATGTGGCTCACAAAAACAACCGACCATTCGACGGCGCGGCACTAATGCTATGGAGAAGAAGAAAAAGAAGAAGAAAAAAGAAGAAAAAGAAGAAGAAGAAGTTTTATACTGATATGTGAAAGGTTGTGAATCGAGAACACAACAGCAACGTTCCATTCGGTGGGTTTTGTTAATAAAGCCATGAGCCCAAACAGCAATAACTAGGTCAAAAGCAGCTTGCAATTTGAAGCTAGAGTGTGAGTAGGTGCTCCGATACAGATGTAAATATTACTGAGAAGCAGGGTACTGACAAGTATGTGTGAGAGCAGCATTACTACAATAAGGACTACATCAGTTGTCTGACAAGGCTGCACAATGAATGAGTTTTTTGATCGACGTTGTGGCTAGGATTATGAGCAGAGTCCCTTGCGTATACTATGCACATAACGCCCGACCGCTAGCGGCGTTTGGAAGCGAGGTTCATAATGTTATTGGAGGGACCTCAAAGCGATGCTGCTGATAATCGCTCAGCAGTAGCAGCCATAATCTTCTCTGTGAACATCAGGAAACGGCCTAGGTCAAGCTTGAGTTCGATTAGAGGCTTCATTTCTTCCTGAGTCACTGCTCTGCTCTGGAAATTGGAAATGATGATTTTCGAAAAGATATGCATCTCTGCTGGGATGCCTGCTCACTCAACAACCATGGAAGCTCCTGACCACCACCAACTAAGGCTGTTTGACGAGCGGTATGCGAAGATCTGTGGGAATGTAAAAAAAATTCGCGTGAGAGGGTAGGGTGGTCTGCGATGAGCAACTTGGTGCCAGTTTTGCTGGGGACAGTTGTATGGTCAAGGCGCTGAGGCGCTGAATTGCTCTAGTAACACCCCTTTGTCCAGTGAGTGCGCCTCCACATTCCCCCTTCGAAGTCTGCCTTGCAGCGAAAGATGATGCTAGCGGATGTGCTGTAGGAAATGCAAGGGTTCTTGTCTCCTGTGGGTACGCAGGACTCACTGTAACTCATAATTGCTGGGACTGAAAGGTTCCTATCGGAGGCGCTTCAAAAAGCCTTTCTGCATTTTCTCTTTGAAGACGACGTCTTTGGCGACATTTATTCCACAGTTCACCACTACCAACGCTGTCTATTGGAGGGATCGTCCTTGACTATCCTCGGAAAAAAAAGAGTCGTTATTCGACGAAATTCTATACCTGCATCGGTGAAACCAGATGGGTCCTCGAAAAATTATCACAAACCCCAACAATCACCTTGATATTGTGCGAGCATAACGTTGATCGAAAACGATACTCTCGACATTACAAAGTCAGACCATGTTCCATTATCTCAGAATATATTACTGGAATTTGTTGAGTGGTTGCTCGATAGAAACAAATTACTGTGCTGGAATCGATTTCAGGGATTTCTGGACTCTCTAGACTCTCTACATTATTTTATCGACCACGTTGTTTATCAGACAAAGCTACGTGGACCATCGTTCCGGTGCGAACCTCAGCCTGACGGAACCTTGCTTCTCCATTACTATTCAAAGCGAAGTGGTCTCTACCCTATTGTAAAAGGTTAACAGGGAAGCAGCCTATTTATAACTGAAATTCGAGAAAGATTGTAGTAATAACCAGGTGTTGTTCGTGAAGTTGCGCGCCGTATTTACGACACCGAAGTCATCATGAAAGTACAAGAAAGGAAGCAAGAACACCTGGGTAAGATGAGTTTCCAGAGTGTTTCCACTTTCTATAATATATATTCAAGCGAATAACCTAAACCAAGAGCTCCAAAACTTGCAATCACTATGGAATCACTTAGGAAGGGTTTTCCTGCAGCATTACATAATCGTGGTACCTGCAACTCCTGCATTACGATCTAGTGCTGCAACCCTGCATTAGGATTAGGATACTGTTTTTGTTCATTCACGGACTTTTTTTTGAGAAATTCTTCTCGAACAACTAGCTCAGGAAATGCTCTTTTATTCCTTTCACATTTTCAGTTCACCATGCCTCAAAAGAAGGCCCTCTTTGTCCCTGTGTACATGCTGGTGCATTCATTTTCTTCAGAGCGACTTCACTTGCTTGCCGCGCATATACAGGGGGGAAGAGCAAAAAAAGGCACGCACTTCGGCTGACAAGGGAATGGTTTCAAGTTCCCATGGAACTTTGAATGGAGACCTAGGTACATCGATAGAGTCTCGAATGCTGATTACGAATATGCAGATTAAAAGTGCTACGGGGACCTCCCAGACGAGTTCTGGGCGGTCAAAGTTTGCGAAAACTCAGTTTTGGCTCGTAAGCGCTGCTGATCGATTGCTGGCCAGTGCCACCGTGGCCTAGTGGTAAGTGTCTCAATTCAGAGACACTTCTGCCAGAGTTTGCTCCCCGTCGATGTGGAAATTTTTGCTTCGACTCCAATAACAGCTTTACACTAATTGTGAGATTTCTACAAATTAAGGACTCAACAGAGTAGGTAGATCGAGTATCTGACTTTGTAGATCAAATATAGAATTGGTCTCTGTATACCCCTCACGACGTTTACAACTCCGACAAATCAAAGTTTGGACCAAAATTTTAATTTGATTGGAAACTTGTTGTTGGGAGTAATTTGACCTCCCTGTCAGAGCACGCCGTCGTTGTGATGATCACAACAGGGGGTCGTATTTGACCTCGTGGGGGGGGTCGT